AGCTAGGATGACGCCACGACACTCTAGCCAGGGCAACGCAGTGAGACTCTGTCTCAAAAAAAAAAAAAAAAAAATATATACGTCGAGCATCCCAAAATCAAAAATCTGAAATCCTCCAAAAAATTATCTTTAATTCCTTCCAAGCAAAATGCTCCAAAATTGTTTAAATGCTGACCTGATGCCACAAATGGAAATTCCACACTTGACCTGATGTGACAAGTTACAGTCAAAACTTAATGTTAGGCAACAAATTATTTTAAAATACTGTATAAAATTACCTTCAGGTTATGTGTAGAAGGTATATATGAAACATAAATAAATTTCATGTTTACGTGTCAGTCACATTCTCAAGATAACTCATTATGTATATACACATATTCCAAAATCCAAAAAAAATCTGAAATGGGAAACACTTCTGGTTCCAAGTATTTCAGATATGGGATCCTCAATCTACAACTCATTTCCCACCACTGGAAGTATTAAACAACTCCTTACACCATGAAAAAGGTCATTAAAAAAACAAAGAATTAGGCATTTGTTCTGCCTTTGGGATACCAGGAGAAACGTGGTCTATTCCTGGTTGATAAGAGAAAACTTTTTCTGTAGAAGAATAGTAGTCAATAAATGCAGAGAACATGACAGATTTAAGAAAAATACCCCTATCATTCTACAAATTTCAATGTAACAAAATTATTAATTAAAAATTGTTTCAGAAATGATGTCAAAATAACACTCCACAGAATACTTACTAATCTCCACAAGAAAAACAGATTTCCAAAATGTAGACATCTGACGGTCTCTACCTTACCCATGTGATCAAATATAGTATCATGCAGATAGGGGGACAACCTGACAAAATGTGTCTGTTACTAGGATCAAACAGTATAGACAGCAATACTTACGAAGTCTGAAAACAAACCAACAAAAAACTCCTTAGCCTGAATGGATTTACGCCTCTAGACCTACCTTCCAGTTAACGGAAATACAGGGAATGGAGACATACAAAAACCATTATCATAATGAAAAAATCTGACAAATGTGGAATTTCAATAAAATAACTGGTATGAATATTGCAAAAAGAAAACTAATAGCTGTAAATTATATGCTATCTTAAAGGAAAGTAGAGACTTAAGGTAAGGAATAAACCTTGATTAGACCTTGCTTTGAAGCAGTTACAGAACATATTTTTGGGACAATAGGGAAATTTTAAAATATGGGTTGGATAATAGTCAATATAAAGCATTATTTTTCTGAGTTACCATATAATATTTGGTTATGTTGGAGAAGGTCCTTATTCTTAGGAAATGCATGGGTAATTTCCTAAGAAATTTCCACCTAATGTTGCAACATATGTAACATAATCAAATGTTTCTGCAAAACATATATAGATGCTATATATACACATATGCATACATACATATTAAAATGTGAGTACCTGTTTAACCTAGGTAGTGCTACATGGATAACTACTGTACTACTTTTTGAGTTTATTTTAATGTTTAGAACTCTTCATAGTAAAAAGTTTGGGATAAAAGGGAAAAGTAACAAAACATTCTAAATTGCTATCACATTTCTCCTTATCAAATACCTTAAGAACGAAGAGAAAAACAAAGAGCACCACCAAAAACCGGGGAAAATTAAAGTAAACTAGTTTATAAAATGTCTTACGTTACCAAAAAACTTCATGTTACAAGGAAAATGCTATTCATATTATTAATATCCCATTTGGAATACTGAAGTTCTTGACATAATTATATACAGAAATTGATGTAACTCAACAGCACTGATTATCTACAGCTGCTATTTAATGACCACTTTATTGAGAGAGAAACTAATTTTAGATGGATTTTAGAGG